ATGATAATTTTTGGTAGGATGTTTTGCCACCCAATGAGAACCCAAAATATCAAATTACAGCCAACTTGGTTGAAGAACGTATCCAAAATCCCCAAAATATCGAAAATCGGAGGGCTCCGTTATATGGCGATTATACCAAACAATGGACCCACATTGATAATTTTTGGTTAGAAGATTTGTCACCTAATGGGAACCCGATCTATCAAATTACAATCAATTCGGTTGAACAAATTGTCAAAAATCCTTAAAATATCGAAAATCGGAGGGTTCAGTTATATGAAGACTATACCAAATAATGGACCGATATAGATAATTTTTGGTAAGAAGATGTTATATCTGATGAGATTCCAATATATCAAATTATAGCCAATTTGATTGAAAAACGTATCCAAAATCCTCAAAATATCGAAAATCGGAGGGCCGTGTTATATGGAGACTATACCAAATAATGGACCGATATTAATCATTTTTGGTAAGCATATGTTATAGCTAATGAGAACCCAAAATATCAAGTTACAGCCAATTCGGTTGAAAAAACGTGTTAAAAACCCCTCAGAATGTCGAAAATCGGGAGTTCCGCTTTATGGGAGCTATACATAAAAGTGGACCAATATTGATAATTTTTGGTAGGAAGATTTTACACATAGAGAGAGAACTTAAAATTTAAAATTACAGCCAATTCGGTTGAAAACTTGACCTAAACCCTGAAAATATCGAAAATTGGAGAGTTCGGTTATATTGAGGACATACTAAAGAGTGGATCGATAATGATAATTTTTGGTTGGAAGATTTTCCACCTAATGATAATACAAAGTATCGAGCTACAGCCAATTTGGTTGAAAAACTTGGCCAAATTCCTGAACATATCGGAATTCGGAGGGTTCCGTTATATGGAGGCTATGTAAACACGTGGGCCGATATTTATAATTTTTGGTAGGAAGATTTTACAAATTTATGAGAACCTAAAATTTAAAATTACAACCAATTCGGTTGAAAAAAGCTTTCAAAATCCTCAAAATATCGAAAATCGGATGGATCCGCTACATGGACGTTATACCAATAAGTGGACCGATATGTATAAGTTTTGGTAAGAAGAACTTATACCAGATGAGAACTCAAAATATCAAATACCAATTTTACACCCAACTAGGATAAAAAACATATTCATAACCCTCAAAATATCGAAAATCGGGAGTTCTGCTATATGGGAGCTATACTTAAAAGTAGATCAGTATTGATAATTCTTTGTAGGAAGATTTTACCCATAAAGAGAACTTAAAATTTAAAATTTCAGCCAATTTAGTTAAAAAACTTGACCATACTCCCCAACATATGGAAAATCGGCAGGTTCCGCTATATGGAGCCTATACCAAAAAGTGGACCGATATGGATAATTTTTGGCTACAAGAATTGCCACCCAATGAGAACCCAATCGACCAAATTACAACCAATTTCGTAGAAAAGGGGTGTTATAAATCATCCAAATACCGAAAATCCATGGGTACCGTTATATGGAGGTTATATCAAAAATTGGACCGATATGGATAATTTTGGTAGGGAGATTTTCTACCTAATTTGAACCCAAAATATCAAATTACAGCCATTTCGGTTGAAAAAGTGTATCCCACACCCACAAATTTCCGAAAATCGAGAGTTCCGCTGTATGCGAGCTATACATAAATGTGCATCGATATTCATAATTTTTGGTATGAAGATGTTACACCTAAAGAGAACTCAAAATATCGAATTACAGCCAAATCGGTTTAAAAACTTGTCTAAATTCCTCAAAATATCGAAAATCGAAGGGTAACGCTATATGGGGGCTATACCAAAAAGTGGACTGATATGGACAATTTTTGGTATGGAGATTTTCTACCTAATGAGAAACCAAATTATCAAATTACAGCCAATTCGGTTTAAAAGTGTGTCTCAAATCACCAATGTATCGAAATCGGAGGGTATCGTTATATAGAGGCTATACCAAAAAATTGGTCGATATTTACAATTAATGGTGAGAAGATTTTAGACCTAATAAGAACTGAAAATAACAAATTACAGCCGATTCTGTTAAAAAGAACTTGTCCAAAATCTTCAAAATACCGAAAATCGGAAGTTCTGCTGTATGTAGGCTATAGGAAAAAAGTGAACAGATAAAGTGATAAATTTTTGGTATTGAGATTTTCTACCAAATGAGAATCTAAAATATTCATTTACTGCCAGTTCGGTTGAAAAAGGTGTCAGAAATCCTTAAAATGCCGAAAATCGGAGGGTACCGCTATGTAGAGGCAATAGGAACAAGTGAACCAATATTGATCATTTTTGTTACACATAATAGTGGGCCGTTATTGATCATTTTTGGTGAGGAGATTTTAGACCTAATAAGAACTCAAAACTCAGCTGAATCCGTTAAAATTTTTCAAAATGCAGAAAATCGGAAGTTCCGCTGTATGGAGTCTACACCAAATAAGTGAGCAGATAAAGTGTTATTTTTTTTGTTATTGAGATTTTCTACCTAATGAGAACCTAAAAATATCTATTTACAGTCAATTCGGTTGAAAAAGGTGTCAGAAATCACTCAAATTCCGAAAAATCGATGGGTTCCGCTATATGGAGGCTATAGGAATAAGTGAGCCAATATTAATAATTTTTGGTAGGGAGATTTTCTACCTAATGATAAACCAAATTATCAAATTGCAGTCAATTCGGTTGAAAAGTGTTTCCCAAATCCTTCAAATTCCGAAAATCTGTGTGTCCCGATATATACCACAAATTGTATCGATATTGCTAATTTTTGGTAAATATTGGTGCAGACTTTCATATTCTTCATACGTAACGAACCCTATTGCAATTTGAGAAATCTGATTCCGATTTAGATATTTATCTGATGTCCCAAAGTCTCTACCTCTATCCGATTGATTTAAAATTTGATGGATTCTGCAAAATGGAAAGCCAATCCTCTGATGTTTATGGTATATTAAAAATTGATCCCTGTTTAACTAAATTCTCCCTTCTCTAAAAAATAGACCCACAGCAATACATTCCTATTTTCCTTTTGTAGCATCCCTTTGCGATTTTTTTGGTATACTTTCTGAACCTTTGTATCGTTTCACGGAGATACTTATTTTGAATTCGATCGACAGACCATTTCATTTGCTGTTTGTAGACTGACTTGCAACTGCATCCAAAAAATTCCGCCTTCCAAAAGAAATTTGATTCAGAAGATGAAAACATCTTCCATCGATTTAAGCAACCTCTTCAGTCCGTTTGGTAAAAAGGATTGGTTTCGTATTTTCCGAATATTCCTCACAATCATTTTTCGTAGACCTAAGGAGCATTACACTGCCTTTAGAGCTCCATCAGCATTTCTAGTAGACCTATAAAGCATCACACAGTCTCTGAAGCTCCATCAGCGATTTTCACATTTCTTCAACAAGAAGTTCAAGAAGTTTGAAATCCGGATTTCACCTGGTAATCTAACTCAAACATACCACATGAGGCAATTGAAAAAAAGAAATCGTATCTCATTTTTGTGGAAATAGTATATTAAGAAAATAGATCCCTGTTTAACTAAATTATCTCTCCTCTATATTCCTCTATATTAGACCACAACATAGCAAGATTATCCCATTTTTTTAAGGATCCATTTTTCCTCGAAACTTGACATTCTTGATAGGAATAATACCTTCAATTCGGTGAACATACCATTCAGCCTTACAAAAATAATTTTTCATCTTCTGTATCAAATTTCGATCGAATAAGGGTACCTCTTCTGACGGTCGGGCGCATCTGTTTTGTAAAATAGTATCAGTATCGTCAAGAGAAGCTGAATTTCAGATTTTTAAGGTGTCCAGAAGTCTTTCACTGAATTCGAAACTCCATACGTATCAATCTGAAGTCCAGATTTCATATTGTAATCTATTCTCCACAAGCCTTTTTAGTATTTCATTGACTTCGAAAGTCCATACTTATCAATCTGAAGTCCAAATTTTATATCGTAATCTAACTCAAACATACCATATGCGTCAATTTCAATTTTTCAGTATCCGAATCGAACTTTGACCAGAGATACTTTTTTCCATCCTCTGAATCAAATTTTCATCGACTTAAGGTACCTCTTCGGGCGCATCTGTTTTGTAAAATAGTAGCAGTATCATCAGGAGAAGCTGAATTTCCCTGGAGAACAGATTACTTTTTTTAAGGTGTCCAGAAGTCTTTCACTGAATTCGAAACTCCATATGTATCAATCTGAAGTCCAGATTTCATATTGTAATCGAACCCCGGAGAACAGATAATGATTTATTTTTTATTCAAGTTCTCCACAAGCCTTTTTAGTCCATACTTATCAATCTGAAGTCCATATTTTATATCGTAATCTAACTCAAACATACCATATGAGTCAATGGCAATTTTGTTCAGTATCCGAATATTACTGGAACCTTGACCGGATATACATTTTTTCAATTCGGTTAAGAAAAAACTCTTCCATTTCCTCTCCTTCTAGGGTCTAGAAGTCTCTATCGCTTCGATTTGCCATAGCAAGGTATTCCTATTTTTCAAATATCAACTTCGAATCTCCAATCAGATTCCGAACCTTCGAATTTTTTTGTAAATTTTTTTCTAGACTTTTCTGGAAGTTTATCTTGAGTGTTTCCATGACCATTTCCCTCAATCAATGACCGGAACTTTGATCTCCCAAAAAAATAAAAAAATGTTCGCAATTTCGAAGTTCATCAACATTTCCGATTGCCTCAGCGATTTATTTTATAGATCGTTTAATTGTTTGCCAAATATATATTTTTTTCATTATGGACATAGCGTTCTTTTGTTCTCGAAATTGAAATGCAGGCAGACAGCCAGTCGGCCACCTGCTTTACGATACAATCACGACGAAGTGGTAAGTCAGATAAAAGATTTCATTGTGATCGGTTAGACGCAGAAGAAAAAGAACGCAACGGAAAAAAAAATCTTTGAGACGATAATAAAAAAGGCCTCTGCTAATGATGGCTGATCAATTTGTGGAAAAGTGCACCGTGTTGAAAAATGAAATTGTGGGAAGGTAAAGAAAAATATTTCCGGGAAGGACCTTTCATTTCCCCGAGAAGGACCCCCCGTCAAAATAAAGAGAAAATGTGGCTAAGTGATTTTTTTTGTGTAGATATGTGAAATCTGTGGAGGCCATTGAAGCTGGAGAAACCCTGCTGCTGGAAAAGCCCCTACTGATTCTGCCGGCCAGTGGCGACAAACGTTGCTGTAACTGTTTTCGTTATGCCCAGCAGTATTGTAGGTAGGTGAGGGAGAAAGGAGAAGGAAATCTACAGATCTGAAGGAAAAACTTAAAATCTTGTGTACTTTTGCAGCAAATGCCAATTATCCCCCTTGTGTTTGGAATGTGAAAGTCACAGTGAATTCGATTGTAAGACCCTCAGCGACATCTTCTCCAAATCCCCTGAGGTGCAGGTGGAACTCCTGAAAAAATTCTTCGGCACCTATAACATCATAAAATGCTTGCTGCTCTATGAAAATTCCACCACACGAGAATATTTTGAAAAAATGCTCTTAATGGAATCACATTTGGATAAGAGACGTAACACTACGATATGGAAGGACCACAATAGAGCGGTTATACAACCTCTACTCAAATCGAATATTTGTCAGCATCTTGCAATTTCACAACGCATCAACGAGGAATTCTTGCAGCACATCTGTGGCATTTGGGATGTCAATTCGTATGAAATTAGAGCACCCGATTCGGAGGCAATGCGTGCTTTATATTTAAATGCCTCGCTGTTGGCACACAATTGCATCCCGAATGCTAATCAGGCAATCGATGAACAGTATCGCATTAAAATCTATGCCAATCGTGATATTGACAAAGACGAAATGATTACCATATCGTATACGAATGTATTGATGGTGAGTGGAAATGTAAAAAAAACACAACAACAAATCAATTGTTGTTTTTTTGTTTCATCGACTAAAATTAGGCAAATGAACTTTGTATGAGATCGAAAGTTATTTTAGTTCGCCAACTGAAAACAAAAACCTAGAAACAAATGTGAAATAATTTTCACTAAAGGTGGAATCCACTTATTATCACATTATCCTCCACTTTTGCTTTCATTCTTCGGAACCAATAAAATCCAAGAGGAACTGAACTTCTCTAGGGAATAGTTACTGGTTGGTTTCTTCAAATACCTCCAAAGCATTTCTAGTAAACCTATGAAGCATCACACAGGCTTTGAACCTCCATTTGCGATTTTCACATTCCTTCAATAAGAAGTTCAGCTTCGGCGACCTGGAATCCTGATTTCATCTTGTAATCTAACTCAAACATACCACATGAGGCAATGGAAAAAATCGTAACTCATTTTTGTGTAAATGGTATATTAAAAATAGATCCATCCCTGTTTAACTAAATTATCTCTCCTCTAAACTAGCACTCTACATAACAAGACAGTTCTATTGTTTTCTCAAGGATCCAAACTTGACATCCTTAGCCGGAGAATTTCCTTCAATTCAATCAACATGATGTTATTCAGCCCTATATAATTATTTTTCATCTTCTGAATCAAATTTCCATCGATTTAACGCACCTCTTCAGATGGTCTAGCGCATCCGTTCACACAAGCATTTTTAGTAGACCTATGAAGCATCACACCGGCTTTGAAGCTCCATCAGCGATTTCACACATTTCATTAATAAGAAGTTCAGCTTCGGCGACCTGAAATCTTGATTTCATCTTGTAATCTCACTCAAACACAGCACATGAGGCACTGGAAGAAATTGCATGTAATTTTTGTACGAATAGTATATTAAGAATAGGTCCATCCCTGTTTAACTAAATTATCTCTCCTCTATATTAGCACACTATATAGCAAGAGTATGATATTGTTTATCCAAGGATCCCATTTTTTCTTGAAACTTGGCATCCTCAGCCGAATATATTCCCTCAATTCGATCAACATGATGTCATTCAGCTTTCCAAAATTAATTTTTCATCTTCTGATCAAATTTCCACATATTTAAGGTATCTCTTCAGATGGTCTAGCCTATCCGTTTTGTAAAATAGTATCAGTTATTATTTCCATATATTATAGGGTCTTGAATTCGGTATCGACTCAATTTGACATGACAGCATAATCTCCAAATTCAATACAAGCGGAACTTCCCCGTAGAAGCGATACTGATTTTTTTTTTTCAAGTTCTCCTCAAGCTTTTCTAGTATCTCACTGACTTCGAAACTCCATATATATCAATCTGATGTCCAGTTTTTATATCGTAATCTAACTCAAACATACCACATTCGGCAATATCAATTTTTTTTCTAATTTTAGTATAATAACCTTTGGCAGAACGAATGCCCTGTTTAACTAAATTCTCTCTCCTCTAAGTTCTTTTGAGACATCCCTTTTCGACCAACATGCCATTCAGTCTTCCAAATTATTTTTTATTTTCTGAGGCATCGATTTAAGATAATTCCTCAGATGGCCAAGCGCATTCTTTTTGTAAAATAGCATCAGTTATTAGTTCCATATATTATAGGGTCCTGAATTCTGTATCGCCTCAATTTGACATAATAACGTTATCTTCTCCTTAGAACCAAATACCAAAAGAACCGAACTTGTCCGGAGAACATATAATGATTTATTTTCTCCACAAGCCTTTCTAGTATTTCACTGATATCGAAACTCCATTCTCCATTCATTAAGCACAAGTCCTGTTTAACTAAACTCTCTCTCCTCTACACATTAGAACCACAGTAATAAATTACTTTCCTTTTTCAGAAGCACCCTTTTGTATATTTTCCGTGTTCAACTCGAACCTTGACATCTATAGCCGGAGACTCTTCTTTTCATTCGACCTACAGATCATTTAACTGGATGCGTCGTTCCCATCTCGACTATAAGAACATATTTTTTGGTGATTGCAACAATACCCATTTTCGCCTATGCTGCAGGATAATTATATATTCAGCCTTCCAAAAATCGGAAGTCTAGATTTCATCTCGTAATCTAACTCAAACATACCACATGAGGCAATGGAAAATTGTATATCATTTTACTGTAATTATACTGAAAATCTTCTCTTATGAGGATGGTATATTTAAAATAGATCCCTATTTAACTAAATTTTCTCTCCTCCATACAACCACATCAAGACATTACTATCCTTCGTTTGATGAACCCCATTTGTATTTTTCAATTATATTATTCATACCTTGGCATTCTTAGCCGGAGATTATTCTGTCCAATGGACGGATCATTTCACTAAATGCATCTTTTGAATTTCCGCTGTATGGACATATTTTTCGGGAGATTTCAACTGTACCCATTTTCTTTTATGCTGGTGGGTAGTTATATATTCGGTCTTCCAAAAGTCTGAAGTCCACATTTCATATCGTAATCTAACCTAAACAAATAGATCCCTGTTTAACTAAATTATCTCCCCTCTGCACAATAGAACCACAGCAAGACATTACAATTCTCTATTTGTTTTCGGTATACTACTTCTTGGCGTCCTTTCCAGGAATTCGTTAAGAACAGACTGACCATTTCACTGGATGTGTCGTTTCAATCGCAACATATTATTTTTTTGGTAGATATTGTTGGGGCTTTACCCAATGTTTCTTCTATGATACAGGGTATCTTACTATTCTCAGCCTTCCATAAATCCTTTAAATCAAATGTCCATTTAGAGGACCTTTCAGAGGGTTCTGGTTCCTTCATTGTTATTTCTGTATATAAACTCGAACCTTGATATCCCTTACCCGGAGAAACTTTTTCAATTCAATAGGAAAACGAAATCCTTTAATGGCATTTTGAAAAAATAGATCCCTGTTTAACTAAATCTGCCTTCTACACAATAGAATTTCAGCAAGATATTAATGTTCTTCTTGAAGCATAGGAGATATAATCAGCTGATTGCAATAAACAGCTGATATGTGGTATGGTGTAAAACCTGCAGTTGTAAAAACGTCTGTCATCAGCTGATTACATTAAACAACTGTCAATGCGAGTGAGTGTAATAACGCACTCTTATCTCGCTCTTTTTTTGTTTTTAAAAAATCGGAAAACTGCATTGACTGGCAATACCACAAAAAAGACTCTCATTTCGATAGAAAAACGAAACCATTTAATATTTAAAAATAGATCCCTGTTTAAATAAATTTTCTCCCTTCTACACAATAGAATCACAGCACGGTACTAATATTCTTCTTTCGAAACACATGAGATAAAAATCAGCTGATTTTAATAACAGCAGATATGTGGTGTGGTGTAGAAACGCCTCTCATCAGCTGTTTACATTAAACAAGTGATATATCTAATTTTTACAAAATCGGAAAACTACATTCAGTGGCAACACCACAAAAAATATTTTCATTACGATAGAAAAACGAAAGTCTTTAATGGCATATCAAAAATAATAGATCCCTGTTAAACTAAATCACAATGGAATCACAGCAAGGTACTAATATTCTTCTTTTGAAGCACAATCAGCTGATTGTAATAAACAGCTGACATATGGTGTGGTGTAAAACCTGCAGTTGTAGAAACCTGTACTTGTGGGCGTAATAACGCTCTCCTACGTCCCTTTTTTTGGTTTACAAAATCGGAAATACCTGATAGTCCTTCAAATTCAGATAGGAAGCACCTCTATTCACCGATCACGACCGGTCAAAGGCAATTTTCAACCTGCTGACAGAATGTTCTTCAATTTCTTCAGCATTAGTGAGGAAATTAGTCTCGAAGTACCAATGCTAAAATGATCGAAGCTTCCTTCAGTCTCTATAACTAAAAACTACAAAGCAGCAGATACATTTCGTCTTAAAAATAAGGCAACCCTAGACCTTTTTGTGGGAAGAGACAATCAATGCTTGGGGACCTGATATCCTTCTCCCAATTTATTAATTTCTATTCTATTAATAATTCCTTCTCATTTTTCCAGGGCACCGATGATCGTCGCAATTTCCTGCGTGAAGGTAAATATTTCCATTGCGTCTGCGCCCGCTGCGAAGATCCCACGGAACTGGGATCACACATGAGCACCCTGATCTGCAATAAATGTGCCACAAATAAACAAGAAGGTTTCATTATGAAAATCGATGCGAAAACATGGAAATGTTCCAACTGCCATCATTGCCTCAAAAATGAACAAGTTGAAACGATATTGGAAAAAGTCAAAGAAGAAGTATTTCACGCCCAAGATGATATACGACATTTGGAATACCTACTCACCAAATTACCCACACTCCTACATAAAAATCACTACATAATTGTGGATGTTAAACAAAATATTGCCAGTATGTTAAGGTCCATTATACGCAATAGCCTACAGAGGCCCGGAAGGCAATTGTATGAAAGGAAAATTCGATTGTGTCAAGAATTGGTTGTGCTACTGCATATAATACAACCGGGTATATCGAGATTAAAAGCTATTGCTTTATATGAAATGGCAATTGCATCGGCGGAATTATATCGCCTGAAATTTGGTGAAGATGAAATAAATGCTGAGGAGTTGCAGGAATATTTACGTAAGTGTGAGGCAATGTATAGGGAATCAATGCGTTTGCTGTTGTACGAGCCCCCAGAAACTCCCGAGGGACAATTAGTTAAGAGTATAATTAATGAGTTAAGAGATTTACGTAGTGATATCCAGTTGCTGGATAATCCATTGCCTGATCAAGGTGGAGATGAATAAAAGGGAAAGATGTTTATTTTTTTTAATACAAAAAAGGAGTGGATGTTTTAATTTTTTTGGGGGAAAATATTAGTTACTTGCTGGAGTTGAAATGTTGATCGTGAGATTTGTGTTTAGGTTTGATAAACGTTTTCTTCTAAATCGAAGTTTTAAATGTAATTAAAAATTCAGCTGATTGTAATAAACAGCTGATATGTAGTGTAAAACCTGAAATTGTAAAAACGCCTCTTATCAGCTGATTTCGTTAAACAACTGCTATTGCGAGAGTGTAAAAACGCTCTCCTACGTCCTTTTTATGGTTCTACATAATTGGAGATTTACATTCATGGGCAATACCACAAAAAATTGTCTCATTATATTTATAACTACCAATCCGACCTCCAAAATATTTTAGATAACATATTTATTTGTATAAAAATCGATTTCTAATTTTATGTAAGAATTTTCTAGTGAAATTAATTTAACGAACGACAACATTTGATTTAATTTAAAAATCAGCTGATTGCAGTAAACAGCTGATATGTGGTGTGGTGTAAAACCTGCAATTGTAAAAACGCATCTCATCAGCTGATGACATTAAACAGGGTGTAATATCGCTTTCCTATGTCTCTTTTTTGGTTTTATAAAATCGGAAAACTGTATTCGTTGACAATACCACATAAAAATATTCTCATTACGATATAGCCTGAGAAAAATATTTTGAATCCAATTGACCCAATAGGAATTTTTAACAATCTAATAATAAAAACCTTTCTAGATTGTTTTCGCTTATACCCATCAATCCTGCCTCCGAATCATTTTTGATAACATATATTTTTTATACAATTTGATTTTTAATTTTATTTTGAATATTTTCAAATGAATATTGAAAAAAGATATGTGTGAAAGTGCCCTAATAAAATTACTTAATATAACTACAACATTTGTTTTTAATGTAATTTAAAAATCAGCTGACTGCAGTAAACAGCTGATATGTGGTGTAAAACCAGCATTTGTAAAAACGCATCTTCTCAGTTGACTACATTAAACAGCTGCAATTGTGAGTGGGTGTAAAGAACGGTCTCCCAGTTTTCTTCTTTTACTCTAACAAAATCGGAAAACTATTTACAAATAGTGTTGGGCAATCTAGTTCACGTAGCGGATCGATCTTTCTCGTTCCTTTTTTTAAAAGGGATAATGTTGCTTTGCATCATATAGTTCTTTTACTCCTCACAGTTCATTTGATCCAAATAGTTTCTTTGCTCCATTCAGTTCCTTTACTCCATATAGTTCCTTTGATCCATATAGTTCCCTTACTCCATACAGTTCCTTTGCTCTTATAGTTCCTTTGCTCTTTATAGTTCCCTTGTTACATATAGTTCATTTGCTACATATAGTTCCTTTGCTCCATATAGTTTCCTTACTCCATACAGTTCGTTTGCTCTTCATAGTTCCCTTACTCCATACAGTTCCTTTGCTCTTCATAGTTCCTTTGCTCCATATAGTTCCTTTACTCCACACAGTTCCTTTGCTCCGTATAGTTCCTTTGCTCCGTATAGTTCCTTTGCTCCATATAGTTCCCGTGCTCCATACAGATCATTTGATCTTCATAGTTCCTTTGCTCCAAATAGTTCATTTGCTCCATACAGTTCCCTTACTCCATACAGTTCCTTTGCTCCAAATAGTTCCTTTGCTCCATATAGTTCTTTTACTCCACAGAGTTCCTTTGCTTTTTATAGTTCCTTTAAGTTCAAAAAAGAACGAGAATAAAGCACGATACCAAAAAGGAACGAGATCAAAAAAGGAACGATATCAGAAAAAGGAACTATATTAATTAAGTTGGAACTAGTTCCGATCGTTCCTTTCTCGGAATAGTTCCAATGAACTAGTTCGTTCCGGAACTACTAGTTCGTTCTACTGACAATATCACCATAACTATTGTCATCATGTGGCAACCAGAAGAATGAATTTTCATCTCAATCTTCGGAATAGGAATCTTTTTTACCAATCCAATAATCTCGACCATTCCTGGTTGTCTTTGCCACGCTTATACTTACCAATCGAGCCTCTGAAATATTTTTAATAACAATTTATGTGGTTTTAAAAAAATATATTTTCAATTTTATTTTGAATGAGTATTTTTAAATGAATATTTTGGGGGAAAATAAATGTAAGTATGTGAAGATGTACTATAACAATTTTCTAATAAAATTAATTAATACTAACTACAACATTTGTTTTTAAATGTAAATAAAAGGAAACAGCTGATTACAATAAACAGCTGATATCTAGTGTGGTGTAAAACCTGCAATTGTAAAAACGCCTATCTCTCTCTCAGTAGCTGACTACATTAAACAGCTGTTTGTGGTGATTGAAAAGGTTTTACAAAATCGGAAAACTACATTCACTGGCAATACCGCAAAAACTATTCTCATTACGTGGCAACCGGAAGAAACCATTTTCACCCCAATTAGCCGAATAGGAATTTTTCACAATCCAATAATCACGACCATTTTCTGTGCCATAACCCACAACGACAACCGAATGATTAACCTCTCCTTGATTACATTGATTATCATCATAGATACCACCACTATATTGTTCAAATGACACAACATCCGCATTCATGGAACAGGCCAAGGGACCCAAGGTGGCAATCACCTCTTTCATTTTGGCCTCATCTCCTGGCTTGATGCGGGCATAATCTCGTATATAAACTCCCTTATCCGTCGTTTCATTACGGCCACATTGGGCATTTTCCATTTGCGTGTAGGGATATTTACTGGCCACGGAGACACCATGATCACGTATATATTCAAAGGCATATTCCTGGAATCCACCATCACAACCCATGGAACCATAATCTTCGGCACAATCTACCAAATTTTGGGTAGATAGGGGAACCAAGAGGCCGGTGCGCCGAAATAGATGACCCTCCAAGGCACCAATGGTGGCGAAGGACCAACAGGAACCACAATCGACACCCTGGAAATCTGGTGGTGTAACACCGCCCAGCTCACGCCAATCAAAATGATCCGGCAGGCCATCATCTTTCGTTTTGGCCGTTACAAAGTTGGTGTGTTGAGAGGTGATGTTTCTGAAAATATAGAGTGAAAAAAGATTAGTATTGAGAGAGAGAGAGAGAAAGAGTAGATGAGCAGAAAATTACTTACTCTCCAATATAGGTTATCTTCGAACCAAACAGCCGTGTAATCTCGGCATGTGTCAAATCGGCCAATGGATTAATGGCCATATTAAATGAGGCCAATCCCTGGCCAGCATATTTGTTTCCCGTATCTACCACACTCTTCTTGGCCAAAAAGATCGACTCACGAAACTGATATTCTCTGGGGTCATTGTACACCTTGCCCGTTTGCTGCAGATAATCTTGGAAATCTTGTACATTACACAGCTTCGGAAATGATTGCAGACTCCAGCTGAGGGTTACTAAACTGGTTAGTATTAGGCCACTAAAGAACTTTGGTGCTAACATTTTGTTGTTGTTTTTCCTATGTTCGGATTTGTTGCTCTAAGCCGTAAGGTGGGGAAGCTTGCCTGCTTCTGCTGTGAAAGATTGAAAGAATATAAGTTGCTAATTTTGGGTTACTTTAAATTTATATATTTAAATCGGCCAAAATAAGAAATAATCTTAGAAATAAAATCAATAAACGTCACGTTTAATGGTCAGACTAATATCGTCATCATCATCACCATCATCGTTAAAGATTTGTCATTTAGGTGATAAGAATTCATGACTTCAAATGAATTTTATGATTTTCGTAGGCAAAATTTGTATATCCGGTTTTTTTGTGAACGTTACGCGAAAGTTGGGTTCTTTCCCGCAGAGCGGACTCATTGTGGCTTCTACGTTAAACGTAAAATTGGATACTAAATTCCATAGAATTCATTCGTCTAAAGTTCTAATCATCGACCTAGCAATTCTCTTGAAATGAAGTTTCGCCTAAACCTTTGTTATTGAATATTTTATTGTTGTTGTTGTTTTTTTTTTTTTCAAAATGTTAATTAATTTGATTTATTATTTATTTACATACGAAATCTCCCTCACATAACTTGGTTACGATTTATAGGCTTTAAAAACTGGTTTTTGGAGACCTTTTAGCATAAATTTAATAAATAATAGCTTAGTCATGGTATATGTTCGCATGTGGGAATTTAAGCTATAGATCTCAAGTTTAAAAATTTAAAAAATATGATAAGGAAAATTACATTAAAAATGAAGCTGATTTTTTGTGGAGAGCCTAAGGTCTGCAAATATTCTCTGGTCAAAACTTCCTTGTCCATCTATGGATTTTATAATTACAGAAGCATAGAAAGTCACCCTTTTCTGTTACCTTAATTTCGGAAACCAGATATCGGCTAACACGTTTCATTTTTTAAATTTATTTATTATGATTTCCCTAATGAAATATCCCTTCTATTTCACCTGAAGATAGCTTTTCTCTCTATCGATTTTGTCCCTTATTCTCAGACTGTCTCTCTGGGTATATGGTGTCTTATCCTTCAGACTCTTGTTCTATTGTGGAGAGAAAAATATTTTCTTCTTGGAATTGATATTCTTATAAATATATATTTTTTAAATTTCCTTCTCCCTATTTTTGCAATTTCACAGCTTACAGATGATCGTCACAATTTTCTACGTGAAGGTAAATATTTCTACTGTGCTTTGAAAATTTATTTTAAATAAACGAATAATCAGCTGTTTGTTGCAATCAGCTGACATATGGGGTGGTGTAAAATCTGCAATTGTAAAAACGCCTCCCATCAGCTTATTACATTAAACAAACAGCTGTTCACGTAGCGAACATGGTTTTCATATAATAAAGATAGTGAATGTGGATCGTTTGTGTAAAGGAGAGAATATTTTGTTAAACAGGCATCTATTTTGGTATACAGGCCACTTGAGTTGAGATATTTTCTTGTTGAATGTTTGTACACTAGAATAAGATAAAGTAGGATGGGAGTAATAAAGGATGCGAGCAATATAGGATGGGGAGTAATCTACACTACAGACTTAAAGAAGCAATTTTCAACCCCATTTGGAAGTAGCAAGTTTAAACAATCCAATAATCACGACGGTTTGTTATAAATAAAATTTGTTTTTAAATAAAATTAAAAATCAGCTGATTGCAATAAACAGCTGATATGTGATGTAAAACCTGCTAGTAATAACGCCTAGCGGGTGTAAAAACGGCATTGTAATATTCTTTTTCGACTTTTACAAAATAGGAAAAGATGCATTCTCTTAAATGTGAGCATACAAATTATTTTATGACGAAAGTTAGATATTAAGAATATCATGTGGAATAATCAGCTGATAGTTATTCCTTCTGAGGTAGATTGCTCATTTTCAGTATGCTCGGCAAAAGGAACTAATTTAGTTACATAATTCCTTTTAGTTCAATCAGGAAGAACTAGATGAACGATTGAATTAAAAGAAAAGAACTAAGGGAACAAGATCAAAAAGGAACTGCTGGAGCAAAAGAAACTAGATAAAAGAATGAACCAAACCTAGTATAGTTCAAAGCAACTGTTCCACAAAAGGGAAGGAAGGAAAGGAAGGAATATATTCGCATCATGAGGTCAAAATTGGGCTTGTTCACGTAGCTAAAATTGTCTTCATATAAGATATATTGTGAATGTCTTGCTGTGAGTTTCATGTGTAAAAGAGAGAGAAAATTTAGTAAAACAGATATCTATGCTTGTTGTTGAATGTTTGTATGAGTTTTCTATTGCCACATGTGATATGTTTGAGTAAGATTGCGGGGACTAATCTACACTACAGACCAAGGCCTATTAATAAGGTCATCCAAGGAGATCAGCTCGATATCAGCTGCTTCTCAAGTTTGCTGTCAAAATTCATTATTGTGAATTGACTTCCATTATGAAAACATAAAAATTGGCATAACAATCAGCTGACTTTCGCTTGCTGGGTGACCTTATTAACAGATCTTGCTACAGACTGATAAGCAAGTTTAGCGCGTTAGCTTGCCATAAAGAAATGTGTGTATCAACTCCATATGTTATGTCAGATGGCTTCACGCTGAGGTTTGAGCGAGACAAATTCAAGTCTGAAATACATTCCAACTATTAAGGTAGGTCGTAAATTCACATGAGTTTCAGACTTGACGAAGTCTCTTCGAATCTTCAAGTAGGGATACGTTGTCGAGCGTAAAAGTCCACTTTTCGATTTTCGCTTCTTTCCAAAAAGTCGACTTTTCGAATTTTCTATTTGACTAAAAAATCGACTTTCGATCTTTCGGTTTTCTCAAATCTGTCCGAAATCGATTTCCGACTTTTACGGACTAAACAAAATCGACCTAAAATTTGACATTTGCTGACAATACTCTCATTATGTGGTAGCCTAAATTACAAAATGTTCATCCCAATTGGCCCACAATTCGGTATTCACGACAGTTCTGGATTTGTTATGAATAAAATTTGTTTTAAATGTAAATAAAAATCAGCTGTTTATTACTGTCAGCTGACATGTGGAGTGGTGTAAAATCTGCTAGTGTAAAAACGCCTCTCATCACATTGTTAAACTTGAAACACATGTCCTCTGTAGTTTTACTGAAGTTTTTAGACAAAATAATCCTAGAAGATGAGGATCACATGATGTTTCCCCATCAAAAGTACCATTTGAAATATTACCAGGACTTCGATTTCGATAAGTTTTTCTAATAGGGAGCATTTTTCAGTAGTTAATGATGAACTAATCCATAATGAAAGTATGGTATCTTTTAAAATCTGTAAGTGTATGTTCACATTTATAATTTTTTAAATTATTTTTTTAAACAGTTTTTTTAGCATCTGGAATATTTTTTATTTCATTCATCAGTTTTTTATTCATAAATTCAGCTAATTATTTATTTTTTTTTTAATTAATATGTTTTTTTTTATTTGAAAGCAAAAGTTTTTTGTTTTTGCTTGGCCAATTATTTCAATATTCAGTGGCATAATTTCGTTGTTTTAATGAGTTGTGTTTTAATAATATTTCATTCAAATTTGTTTTCGATCTTTCACAACACACACCTTTTTTCAGAATTGAAATCGCCAACAATAATAAAAAAATTTGCAATATCCGTTTTGACACTTATGACGAACGAATGAAATTATTCAAAACTAATAACAGCGACTGAACAAAAAATTTGAAACTTCGAAACTCTCGAAACGAACGCTGAGGCGAACGTCTTTCAAACGACTGAAATTTGTTTAACTAACCGATAGAGATTTTTATAGAAAATCATTATGTTTTTTATTTCATTTTTTTGTGGCAACTACAATATTGGAAATGAAATGACAGCAAAAAAAAAAAAACATTTGTAAACATAACCTTTCCCCCCACTCCAGCTGACCATCATTTTTTGGTTATAACCTATGGCAGGTTTTTGAATTTGAGTTATCACCATTGATCTGTTTGATAATTAATGTAAATTTATTAGTTTCTTTTTTGTTGTTGTTGTCTTTCTTTAATGATTGTTTCATTGTATCATCTCTCATGTGTTGTTGTTAAATTTTGTTACTCTATTATTCATGTTTTATTTTTTGCATGTTTCACACAACGTCCGTTCATCAACCTTATCACCATACGCCAGTTACGTCTCCATGGGCTTGAGCAGAACCAAGGCCTCCACTAACATCCAATTCGATGTTTTTGTTTTTTTTTTCTATTCCAGTTTCCATTGTGAACCCTTCTCCATGAACTAACCACTGGACGTAATTATGTTAATTATTTTATAATCGTCTACGATTGTTTTTAGAGACGATTTGTTTTTGTCTATCTTTTTTGAAAACCCTACCTACTAACAAAGCCCTGATTTACAGAAACATTAATCACTGCCTTTTGCCAAAATAGTTTATTAACAAGAAATCAATTCTCAACACTCTATCAAATAAATTTGAAATTCAATTTGGGTATAAAAAACCAGCTCACACGTGGGTGAAAGGGGGTTTACAATGGAAACAGGTGGAAGATTTTCGTTTTTGTGAAGGTGAATAATTTCTCATGGGGATTTTGTTTATTTATGATCCATTTTAGAGCGTTGGGATCAATGGAAGTAATGTTCTGCAGAAAATTTTACTATGGGTCTCTGAAGGGAAGAAATTGCTGGGTAGAAGATAAATCTATAAAATTTTGCCGGGTAAACCCCCGTTTTTGAGGATTTATTTGAAATATAAGCAAAGAAATTGTCATATCAAAACCCACTAGGTTTACTAAATCCAGTATAATGTAAACGTAATGTTCACGTAGCGAACATGAGTTTCGTATAGTGAATGTCTTGATGTGGGTCTCTTGTGTAAAGAAGAGAATATTTAGTTAAACAGAGATCTATTGTCGTATACAGTCCACTTGAGATAAAAGAATTTTCTTATTGAATATTTGTACAATGAAATACGAGGTCAGTTCGGAAAGTTCTTAGCCTAACACAATATAGTATAGTCGGACGGGGCCGACCATACTATACCCTACAC